ACCCTAGCTGATAGAGGTTAAGAAGATACTAATTATATGCTGATCGTACCATACGATTTGGTTTTTACTGTACGCCCTAATTAAATCTTTCTTAATTAATCCCTCGATATTAGGCAATCAAATCATGAACAATTATTATGATCCATCGTATTATATGATATAGTTCATACTATACGATTACCCGTATACAAAATTGGTCATCTCATGGATCGTACTAAATGAAATCCATGATTTTTGTACTGATCATATCGTACGATGTCCATAGTACTAGAAGACCGCCCATGTACAAAGTTGGTCGTTCTAAGGATCATCCCAAATGAACATAAGAAATTTCTACTATTCATACCGTATGATATTTTGATTGTATTGTACGAAATGTTATGAAAGTTAAACAACTCATATGAATGATCTTGCTGGATGAGTCTGAATTGCACTGATTGTACTATACAATATGTGTATCATACTGTATAAATAGAAGATGGATCTTTTGAAATTTAGTATTTTTTGAAGTCCACTATTTAAGGATTTCTAATACTTTTATTAAAAGATCTTTTACTGTTGGGTTAACCTAAGTGAGAGCGTAGAGAAGGAAGAGAGGAGAGATTTGAGAGAGAAAGAGAGAGATCCTTATGTGGGGGAGTTGTGAGGGATTCCCAAAGGTTGCTCCAAGTAAGGTTTCCACCATCTTCATCAGACTTCTTCCTTAGTTTTTAGTGGCTTTGGGAAGACTTTCGTCAGTATTAGGTCCAAGGTCCTCTGCCTACACCAAGAGGGAATAAAAGGATTTCAAGGTTCTATGCTACTCCAAGATGGAGTGAAAGAATTTTTAGGTTCTCTATCTACTCTAGGAGGGAGTAAAAAGATTCAAGGTGCTCTACCTCATCAGATCGGTGAAAAAATTTTATAAGGGCTTCTCGGTGTTGTTGTGGGGGGAAAAGAAGACACACTACTTTTAGCGCAATACCTGAAAAGGAGGTTTCAGGGGAGTGGACGTAGGTCAAGTTGATCGAACAACTATAATTTTGGTGTGTTCTTTTTATTTATTTTTCAAGTTTTAATTTCTACATTATTTTGCAATTTATTATGTGTTTGAAATATCTGATTTTTGTTATTGTGAAATTAGTTATACTTCAACATAAATTATTTATTTTAAAATATTCAAAAAATTTCAAATTTTTTTTGCCTTAATAAAATTGTTAAAATAACCAATTCACCCCCTTTTGATTAGCCTCAGGCTAGTTCTGTAAGGTTTAACAACTTTGACGAACTTTCACACCCTCTCTTAGTGTATTATAAGTACTTTCAAAACTGTGAGGCCATTAGGCTCAAATGGACAATATCTCGATAATTAAAAGTTTAACTTTTTTCTACTTAACATTTTTCACACAAGTAGCTAGCCTTAGGTTTAGGGAATTAGAGGATTAAGGATGCAACACCAAAATAAGAACATATTATAAACTCCAACAATGCATCAATATTATATATAATTATTATTATAATTCAAATGTTTTTGAAGTGATTTTTTTAATGAAAATTCCAAATTTTAGCACCGTGCCTTGTCGAATAAGAGAGAGGAAATATAGAGAAGGTTGTTTGGTGATTTTTCATCCATTTATTTTGTTAAGAGATTTTTTCTATTTAATGAAAGTAACTCAGATCTCATTTTAGTTTTTAATGATTTTAATTATTATATAGATTTTTTTATAATTAACAAAATTAATTATTTCCTAATGCATTTTGATTGTGGAATTTGCATAAGCAAGAAAAGCTGGCTGTTAACACTATAAAGTATGCTGCTATTAAAATATAATACCTTGCACAAGAGGGTACGTGAGCCAACAAACTTTCCTTTAAAGATGTTTTGTGGTGTTATCCTGTTTGTAGCATGTAATAGATGATCGATTATGCCGACCGGCCTCTTTATCAATTTAATGAAGTAACGTGCAATGATAATTAATTAATTGGATAAGTGATAATTGATATGATTGATGACTAACTAGGAATCAATTGAGATAAAAGATGTTGAAAATACCACATTAAAGTTGGATTTCCTATCTTACTAAATTATATATTGATGCATACATATATTGATAACACTGATGATATTGACATATACATTAATATCATTGACATTATTAGATGCATTGATAATAAATAAATAGATGATGCATATTAATAGATAATATATATTATTTTAGTGATTTATGAATGATTTTTGTACCGATATTTTACAGATTTATTGAATTTTATACCAATTATTAATTTTTAGGTTTATTGTAATGATTCACTATTTTTATTATTGATTATTTTGAGTTCTATTGATATTATTTGGTCATTAACTATTATTGATTATATTAGGTTGAGTATATCATATTGCTTCTTTAGTCCTTGCATTGAAAGATTTAGTTAATTTTGGATTACTATTGGGCTTTTGAGCCTATTATATAGATTTTTAATGATTTCAGGTCGGGAAAGCGGTTAAAACTAGTCGAAGTAAGATTGTCAAAGATCCTCAAGTTTTCTTTAAATTTTAGTTATGTATATTTGTTTATTCTTTATAGTAGAGTGATCTCCTGACCAGTGTAAATGATATTTTATGTGAATAAATAGCAAAATATCTTGATGTATATGATTTTAGTTGCTTTGATTGGCTATTGTTTATATTGATGATTTTATAAAAGCTCTGGTATATTCTTAAAATGATAAATAAATATTTCTTCCAAATTTTATTTTGGGGCGTTCCCTCCTATGACAATTATGGGATGAGTGACCTAATGAGAATTTACACAAACATGACAAAATCATGAGGCTCTTAAGCTAAAGAAGACAATACATCAATAATTAATAGTATGGACTGTTACAAGTATCATCATTAACATTACATATTTTAACACAACAAAAGCAATCAAGACTTGACAAACTCTTTAATTTGGGATTTCACAATCTTTGCAATCTACTACACATCCCATCTAACCACTCTGAGGGATATCAAATTGATTCCAACTACTTAAAGTTATCCTTCTAGACAGAGCTTAGATAAAGTATTGAGACCTAGTTAAGGGCTCTAAGTGGTGATGTTAGTAAATGAACATAATTCAAACTCATAAGTTCAAAAGATAAATAGAATTTTGAACAACTTAGAAGAAAAAAAAATATTTTCAAAATAATGAATAAAAATGCATAAATTTGGAATTAGGGTCTATGTTTCTAGAAATTTTCCATCATCCAATATGACCGGCTATAAAGGGAAAGACTCACACTCCCATAAAATTAAAGTCCTATGATTAATTATATCCCATGAGGATTCATGTATTGATAATTTTTTTTTTAATATTGATAAATATTCTTATGATTTCAAAGTTTGTGTGAAGTATTTGATATTGACATTTTAAAGAAAAAGATTTGCTCACCTTTTAGAAGAGAATTTTACAAAGATGTCTAAGAAGAAATTGATATTTAGTATTTTAATACTTCAATTTAAATTTGAGTTGACCAATATATTTAGAAATTGGGACTCACATTTCACTATAATTATATTGAAAAATCCAAAAAAGAACTTTTTGACTTTTAAGAAAATCAGCCCCAAATTTTAGATTTAAGGTAATACTTTTGTTGAAGTAATACCTCAAACTCAAGTCTAATACAATCGCATCTAAATGACTTATAACTTAAAACTTGATATGAATTTAAGTAAGTTCGACCATTATTCTTACAATCTTGCATGAAAATGATTACCATGTAAACATACCCAAGATCTAAAGAAATCATAACATCATAGTATTTATGCTAGATATGTCTAAGCTATTTTAAATTTAAGAGCTATGTCTTATGACTTAGCCACTAAAGCTAAGCAATATGACCCTATTTGTACAAATGCTAACTCAGCAATATGATCATGTTCTTATATTTTATAATATTGTTAACCTTTAAATTCATTTCTTTTGATAATAATGTCAAAATCTTATGCACAAGATGTAAAGTACCTAAAATTTTCATAAAATATACATGCATATTTATAATTGAACCTCCAAAAGCTATAATGAATAAATTTGAGATTAAATTCTTCGATCTACTTTAACATAAATTCAATATAAATTATTTATATATTGCACTCATCACAAAGTAGATCTAAAGACTTTAAATCCCTCCGGATCTTTTGTGTTGATTAGGGCTTGCTGACACAAATTTTTCCCTATGTTAATAAGTCATAATAATGTTGGGGGTGAGATGAATCACATACAACTAATATCTTAAAGAGTAAAATAATGTCTAAAGAATAAAACTAAGAAAATGACCTAATAGCTAAGAACTATAATGTGCCGATGTTGTGTTCGAGAAGATATGTTATACCTAAGATGACACAATCATAAAGTGTCCTTATCGATAAATTTGAGTGTAGAGAAGCAATGATAAAAAAGATGCAGCCACCTCTAATTCACAGGTAGGCATGCTCATGCGACCTCAACTTAACCCTAATGACATCTCATATAAACACATTATGATCTTGAACAATTGAGTAGTAGAAATGAAAAGCAACAAAATGATACTTGATGATAAAAGTAGCTTAAGGTTTCCTTTGTGACAACTTTTTTATTTATTCTAAAAACAATTTTTTAGTTTAAAAATTAAAATTCTTATACTAAAAAACTACCTTAAGAAGCAGTAAGAAAGTTGTCCCAAACGAAGCCTAAATGTAACCAAACTTAGGCTTCATTTGTGATAGATTTCTTACGGCTTTCTAAAACAGCTTATTAATTTAAACTTTTTTACTGCTTTTTAAAACAGCTTATTAGTTTAAACTTTTTTAGTTTTAAAAAAATTGTGTACTAAGAAATTATTTTAGAATGCAATAATAAAACTATCCCTATATATATTATATTACTATTAAATAAATTGGTTAGTGGTTTCAAAATTAATTCATTTAAATTTTATATCTTAAAAATATTCATATGTATTTAATTTCTAATTTAAACGAGCTTAAACAAATATTAATTCAACATAATTCCGGGCATTCATCGAGTGCATTCGTTCACCACAGTACCACCGAAGCCATTCGCCACGACCCTTCTCGGCGCATCCACCGCGCCGTAAACGCGATTGCCGGAGAGCGATAATCAAGCCAGACACCGATATACGAGGGAGAAATTATCTAGGAATTATTATTAAGCGATATATCTGCCCGGTACGCACCTGAAGGGATTTCGTAGTTTATATATTCACATCACGAAGGTGAGTTTTTACGGCAATCGGCGATTTCTTTACGATTTGATTGGGCACCGCTGCTCGAATTCTTGGATCCTGGTAATTTTTTTAGCTCATCATACTCTGGTGCCTTTCTTTATAGGGATCCTGTGGAAATTTGGGTTCTCGGCATCTGTGAATTTCTGTTTTAAGGGCATTCGTAGAGCGTAGGTTGTTCGATATCTCTAATTTTGCTTCTGGATGATCGAGGACTGTAATAGGTTCGACGCACTTTTTTGTTTGTGAATTGTTTTTTCGGTTGGCTTATGGTGCTGGCTTGAAAAAATTGTTGATTTTGACATAAGTGTAAAGTGCTGGGTTTTGTTGAAGTTAGGATGTTGATAATTTGGTTTTTGCGGGATTTGTGCATGGAAGCGTGGGGATAGAATTTGCTCATCCTCATTCCTGACTTGTTTGTGTTGTTTATTGAGCCTTGCTTCAAGTTATGCACAGTTAGGGTTGGTCTTGAGTTTTCCTGCAAGATTTGTGCAAGTGAAAGGCGTTCTACCATTTTTCTGCTGGGGAGGAAATCGAAAACTTATTTTGGTGAAGTTGTTTGTGCTTTATGTTGGTATCAGGTAGGGGTTCAGAGATGAACTCCACCATGGATGAGATCAATCTGCTGCGGCAAGCTGCTCAGCGCCATCAATTGGTAATGAGGGGGATGGGGGAAGAAATTGACTTAGAAATAGGGCCAGGAGATGATGATCCTTCATTTACTGGCACACCACTTGTGGGTGTACCTCCACAAGAATGTTCTGTTGAAGAACAAGAAGACCACAAACAGCTCCTTTCGGGTTCTCAGGTGCCTGTTGAAGAGCTGCAAGACCTTGGGAAAATGCCGCAGGCTAAAAGAAAGAAGAAAGTAGTGAAGAAGTGGAGGGAAGAGTGGGCGGACACATATAAATGGGCTTATGTAGATATTCATGAAGGCACAACTAGGATATTCTGTTCAGTTTGTAGAGAGTATGGAAGGAAGCATAGGCGAAACCCTTATGGAAATGAGGGAAGTAGAAACATGCAAATGAGTGCATTGGAAGAGCACAATAACAGTTTGCTTCATAAGGAAGCTCTTAGGCTCCAAGTGGCATCAAAGGACAAGACTCTACCTGTAGTTGAGAGACCTGTTTATGTGAAAGGTAACATCTTTTTTGACGTGTACTTTCATGTTGAAATTTCAAGGCCAGTGGAGATGTTACTGTTTTTCCACTAAGTAATTATTGCTGCAATGGTTTTTCCAATTATTGGCTGCTATGTTTGTGTTGTGTCTTCTCAACAATCTATACAATTATAGCTGCAGTACGAAAGATGCTTCAATTTGCATTTATCAAGTCGTTGAATGGAAACTTATGTATATTATTGCTACATTCTATGTACTTTCATTTCTAGCTGCACATTATATGTTCAACAAGTTTGTTGCTTGTTAATTGCCCATCTACTCAAACGCAGTTACATGTGAACACATATTTGATCATTTGTGATTTTTACTATTAGAAGGCCAAGTCCTTGTGTGAATATTGGGTACTTGAATCAAAGGTATTGGACAATATGTTAGATTTATCATCTCTCATGTAAGTGGCAGGAGATTTTTAACGAAGCAACAAAATGGTAGAATTTTATTTTTCATTTTTTTCATCCTCTTCAATTAAAACATAGCTTTAAGTGGTCAGATTTGACTTCTAAAACCCATTGTAATCTACTCTATTTGCTGATTCTTAAAGTTTAGATTGTTTATCAAGTCAGCAAAATTACTATTTTTGAACATATGTTTTCATTTTTCTTGTGAAACTGATTTTTGGTCATCCTCCACTCATCGAAAAATTATAGCTTTAATGTCAAAAACTGCTGGTTCGATTGTTGAATCCATCTTAAAGAGGGATCCTCATGAAGTTGAATTTTTACAATCAGTTCAAGAAGTGATAAACTCTCTGGAGCCAGTGCTTTTGAAGAGTTCTCAGTAAGTTATCTGATAAAGATTTTACTTTGACTACTTTAGTCAGGGGATACACGCTTTCTTTTTGACACTTAAAATTGTACTATGCCCTTCATCTATGTATAAGGTATGCCCATATTTTGGAGCGTTTGTTAGAACCAGAGCGAATGATCATTTTTCGGGTGCCTTGGGTTGACGATAGGGGAGAGACACATGTAAATAGAGGCTTCCGTGTGCTATTCAGTCAGGTGTTGGGTCCATGCAGAGGTGGTCTCCGATTTCACCCATCTATGAATCTTAGTATTGCCAAATTCATAGCTTTTGAACAGGTATGTTTTGTGTTTTAATTTGGGAAAATTTCCTTAATTATGTTGTTTTGAATCAGGATATCTTATTAGTATTATTTACTTTGCTTGGCAAGTATTTACTAGCACACATGTTGCTGATAGATTTGATTTATATTTTTGGTTTCTATTTTTTTTTTACATTGATGATTATGGTGGTATTAATCAGGAACATCAGTATGATTCAAAGTAATATGGAAGCCTTAGGATTTAGTATTTGGAATTAAAAAATTAATAGAGGACTTTGGTTGCACTTTGCTTGAGATAGTTTGGTTATTAATCTTTTAAGCTTCATTTTGTAATGCTATTGTTTTTGCTTGTTATATAAATAGTTACCTCTATGTTGACTAGATTAGAGCTAAGATTTTAGCTCGAAGCTCAAAATGAATCAAACCAGAAGAACTAAACTACGATCCAAATTTTGAATATGTATAATCTTCAAGCAAATTTTATGTTGGGTTTAGATCATATTGATTTAATTTGCGATAAACTTGAAATATACATAGTATGCATATATATTTATTAATTTTGTATATTCATATTTGTGCACATATGTATATGGGTATTATAAATATATGAATATGCTTATTCGGCATTAAAAAAAAAAGAAAAGGGAAAAATAAATTATTTGAGTCGGCTCAAATTCAACCTGATATGAGCCAAGTTGACTTGAAATTGAATCATTTCGATCCACAAGCCAATTTCGAGCCAGCTTATATACGTTCGAGTCGGGACTAGATCAAATTGAAATTTGATCTACACTACATGAGATGGGCTGCCCTAGTGTATTCTCCATGGTTGTGAAGTTGTGAAGGGGAATATGCATGAGGGATGAATTTTAATTATGCATTTCCCTTATACTAATTTTTTTTTGTTTTTGGCTGCTTTTTGGTAAGCATCTTATGGCCCATTTGGGGAAGCATTTTCTTTTTTTTTGCTTTTCATAAAGTTATCACAATTTTATTTGGCTACACCTTTTTTGTTTCTTTTCAGGAAAATTTTATGGTGGGAAGTAAGTTTTTTACAACCCTTTCTTCTAAAGTGTGGTAGCTATAAGAACATTGTTTCATGATTTTCTCTAAAAGTAAAAATTTATAATACTCATATTAATTTTTTAAAAATATACTCTCCAAACAATAGTTTTGTAACAGCATTTATAGAAAAATAAAGGGACCCTTAGACTCTATGCTTCACTACATTAACTTTTAGTTTGCTAATTCAGTCTATTAGATTCTTCTAACTTGTGTTATTCAATATTGCTATTGAACTATGTTCATAGCAACTTGTTATGAAAGTAATAAATTATCTCATAATTATAAATAATATTCAAGCAAACTATCTAATGGATTTTTTTGATCTTCTATTAAATATTTAATATTAATATATCATCATCAACTATAATTTTGAGCGTGGTGTTTCAATGAAATTAGGAATGTTTGTTCACTAAAAGTCAACGAAGTTATCATTTGATACTCCATATAATGAGCTTTGTAAAAGGGCTAAATTATTAGATGTCCCTTGCAATGCACGAAATATGAGAATACTGATATAAACGATATATGGTGCAACCTTTCCTTTTTAAGCTCAGAAAAATATCATAACTACAAGCTAACAAGTGAAGTTCTGTTTTTCACCTAAATTAAATGAATATAAAAAACAATGCAATGCACTATGAAAGTACAAGGTGATATACAAAACAATCTTTTCCCCTTCACAAGAAGAGGTTGAAAGAACAATAATCTAACATCTTTGTAATGTGAAGTCTTACCCCCTCCACCGCCCTAAAAAAAAGTGCAGAACCATTAACTATATTCTGTAGAAAATTATCATAATGAAAATGAAAGAACTCATAAATAGAGTTCTTTTAAGAATTACCAATCTTCTTCTCTCCGTGCCGCAAGGAAATATATTTCAAACAAAGGGATATCTTGTTTAACCTAAAGAGTGTATTATCTTCCTGCACTTTCATCATCTCAGTAATAATAAAAGCAAACTATTTCATTAAAAATAAAAAAATATGTAGAAAAGTACTTGCTAATATGTACTCCTTATGCCTAAAATTCCTTCTCATATCGACCAAGCTTGAAGTATTATATTAGAACAAAAGAGGAAAAAGAGGGGCTCAAATGGGAAAGATAAAAAGAAGGGAAATGAGAAGAACCTGTTCTCATCTTGAACATTTTAAATGTTAAAATTCTCAAAATAAGAAGAAAAAGAAGAATTAGTGTGAACTTTTCATTCATTGTTGTTCTTCTCACCAACTGGGGTATTTATAGAATAAAATATAACTCACTATCATTATTAACACTAATTGCTTGAATGGCTTATATGCTAATCATAGATTCACAATTTACTAATACTGCTTATATTTTGGATTTATTGCCTTCATTCCCTTCCCACAGCGATCTTAACCTCAAGTTCAATTTTACAAGTCGTTTCAATGGAGTTGGTTGCCATCCATTCAACTACAATCTCTCAAGTGGGTTTGTCATGCGCCATATGCTCCCAATTAAGTTGCAAAGGAAATCAATGAACACATAAGTAATTCCTAGTTTTCATCCAATAGAAATGGTAGGTATCAATGTTTAAAATTGCGTATTCGGGTATTGATAAATTTTTTATATACTAATGGATGAATAATATAAAACATAAAAAAGCATAAGATATGAAGTGAAATCAAAATATCTCAATAATAAGACAACATGAAATGTAGTTCAACTCAAAATTCTATATTTCCCAAATCCCAATAATCTTTTCATTAACATCTAATTCCAATTTCCAAAAATAAATAGCAATGACATATCACATAAGAACTCATAAGTCAGCACTGTCATCACTAAGGGGTTCTTCATTTGAATCATCATTATGATGAACGGCTCTCTCCCCTTCCTCCTCTCCTATAGAGTCCAATGTCGGGCATTTACTTCAAGATTTATGTAAGTTTTAATATATATAGCATGAGGCGTAAGCCTCGTGCCAGTGAGGCGACGCGGGTCTCAAGGCGGGTCTCAACCAAGTTGAGGCGCAAGCCTCATAAAAAAGACTTGTGGCGTAAGCATCGAGGCGTTTTTTACTGGAATTGCGCAAAGGCGGGCCTCAAGGCGAGCCTCATATTGCGCAATTTTAAACCATGGTAGGTATGATACTCCAATTGGAAAATTGTGAAAGGATGGATATTGAAGGTTAGAGTCTTGAAGGTGCGGGATTGGGAAATCTGGCTACGGCAATTTTGACCTCTGGCAACGGAGTTGGTGGTAAGATCTTGAAGGTCGGAGTCTTGAAGGCGAGATCCCTTTGATGAGAGATGTTGAGGTTTGGATCGACGACATGGCGAAGCAGAGGATTACAATGTTTTTGGGCGCTTCAAAGGAGGTGTAGTGTCTATGTGGCTGCGAGGTTGCCCTTCCAGTTATTGTAGATGACACAGAGCAATGGGTAGTGGTGAATGTCAAGGTTCAGCGGACTAGAGAAATGTGTGTGCTCTAGCATTAAATACGGACGTGATTCCGGTTCGTCTCCATTTTAGTTACACATATGGACGTCAGAGTTGAATCTTAGCGACTATGAGAATTGGGAATGAAGTTGCTAGCATATTTTGATTGTCTTGATGACAACTTTGGCAAAATGCATGAATGGTGGAGGAAATTCACTAGTTGAAGTATATGAAAGCTCTTGGAAAAAAATGTAGATCCTGAAGGTGAAAGATGCAATGGGGATGCGTTTCGCAGTGGAAGTTTTGGCCTGGATGCAACCTGAAATTTAGTGGAAGGTTTAGTGATGATAGAAGCAACAATAAAGTTATCTCAACCTGATCCCATCTTGGAATTTTTAATCCTCTCAAACTCTCAAAATCAGAAAAACAGAAGAATTCGACACAAGAAGGAAGAACTTATTCGTTCTTTATTTTCTCTCATTGATTATAGAATACAAATATAACTCACTAACTAATCATTTTCTCTCTATACCTTAAAGAGTTTGTTAAATTGCATAGCGTTTTCTTTTTGGGTTTGGTAGAGACTAAATTGTCATCTTTTGATATAAAAGAAATTAAATTACTGATTGGGAGATGGTTGGGAATACTTCATTGTGCCTTTAGACGGGTTATCAGGATGTACTATTGTTTTATGGAATTCTCATTTGGCTGATTTTTCATTTGTTGATTCTTCTTCTTCTCAATGTATTATTGGTGATCTTGCAATTACCAATAAAGGAACATGGAGGATTGCTTATGTGTATGGAAACAAAGGCATGTATAAAAGGAGGGAACTTCGGGAGATGATGGAATTGCATTCTATAGGTGATCATCCTATGGTGGTGGGTGGAGATTTGAGATTTCAATTGTCTCACTTCTAAGGAGGACAAGAGAGGAGGAAAAATGTTTCAGTTTTCTCAAGGGCCTAAAGAGATGAAGGCTTTTTTTGCTAATAATGACTACCATGAGGTTGGGTTTATTGGCCCAAGGTTTACTTGGTGCAATAATAAAACCGGAGGGGCTCGTATTCTTGAAAGATTGGACAGGTGCTTTCTTAACTCTATGACGTTAAATTCATCAAATAATTTGGTTGTTAGACACTGGCTAGAATAGCTTCCGATCATTGTCTAGTTATTCTTAATTTCCTTGATTTTAATCTGGCGGCTAAGAGGATCATTAAATTCGAGGATGTTTGGGCCTCTTATCCTGCTTCTTCAACTGTGGTTAAGAAGGATTGGAACAAATCTTATTTGAGTAATTATTCTCAAATATTGAATTCAAAATTTAAAAAAGAGTTTAAAATCTCTGTTCTTCTGGAGTAAGGCTAAGTTAAAGAAATTAACCACTTGAAAGGTAGCTTGATGGAAGATATTTTGAAGCTGCAAACCAAGGAATCAGATACTAGATTTCTATCGGAAGAAGAATGTTGGATTTTGAAAGCTAAAGTGAATGAACTTAACTCAACTATGGCTCGGTTGAATGCATGGTGGAAGCAAAGAGCAAAGGTCAAATG